GATGACGCCATCATCTCGGCCCTAGACGATAACATATGGCAGGTCCCCGACCTGTGACCTCGCCAAGTTACTTGGAACAAAACTAGGAGTGAGCTGTAAGCCCACACATGTGAGTGAAAGAACAGTTATTGTTTGTGTTGTGGTGAAATGTTGGGAACTACACAGGTGCATAGTGTAAAGCATTGGGATAATAACCATACAGAATAATGTATTTACTGATGTAAAATGTATACATATAATGGAATGAAATCAGTAGTTAGCGAGTGTCTCATTCTTTATAGGTTTTGACCATATCAACCAATAAAAATTGAGTGAGTCCATGTTATGGGTTTCTCTCACCCTTAAGTTGTGACGTCATCTAATTGTCGAACCATTCGGCAGTTATACTACCCTTAGACATTCATGGGTACATCCAGGGTGTCACCCGCGAATAATAGAGGACCACGAAATAAAAATCCACGAATTATCTGGGCCTGCTGTACGTATATGAAAATTCTGGAGATTTACCATTATTGTATTATACTAAAATTAAAAAAATCTAGTATATAGTTGAAAAATCTGGCGATATCAAGACTTTTCTGGGTATCTGGCAACACTGCAAGAGCAGTGCAGCTGATAAGCTACAGAGGTCTAATACGTGTTCAACTCGTCAGCCGCCCTCACTAGCATTTCATATCCACCAACTGTAGTTTATAGTTAGAGAAGGTGACATAATAAATTGGCATTTATAGTAACATGCCCAATGTAAGCAGAAAATACAGTATTATTACTGTGAAGCACAAGTCCACATTGACAAAAATAATTGTGCAGGACACTTGACCAAACAAAAATGTTTTAATAGAAAAAATCTAATTCAGCTAATATTCCAGTGACTATTCATGGACTTTATATAGATTCTTCTATTGTATAGAGCATTAATAAAATAAGAATACTCTACTCTATAGTGTTTCAGGATGAAATTTATAGTTTTTGCATTATTTTCACTTTTTATTTCAATTTAGAAAATACAAGTTTGCAGATGTATTTTATGTTTGCTTCTAACTCACCTAACCAGTGGAAGTGTCAATGTCATGTGACACTCCTACACATGCACTTAATTCTTACTCAGCCAATCAGTACAAGTATTGATGTCAAATGAATTTGAATTAGTTAGAAGATGTCTTCTGTCTGTGAAGGTTGCTCACTGGAAGACTGGGCAATAAGAAGGAGCATCATTGCCGATAATTTGCTCGGTAATTGTTCTGAGCTCATCATAAAGATCATAACACCATACTGCACCATCAGCCAAAGAAAACTTTCTCTGGATAAACAATACTGTACAGTACTCAGGAAACAGCAAATAAGCAGTAGTCTCCACATCTAAAATCCTCTTATTAATAGTACTGCACTGTACACGTACTACCTATGAGAATATTACCATAATACAGTATTGTACAGTGGTCCCTCGGTTAACCAGCGCCTCGGTTAACGAGATTTCGGTTAACGATTTACCTTCCATAAGATTCTTAACTTCGGTTAACGAGCAATCCCTTGATTAACGAGTTTTTTACGAGCCGACTTCAACATGTTTTCGCTTGCATTTGGCGGTCCACCAGCTGTGGTATTAGTCCGCCAATACAGTAATCGGTTTTAGGGCTTACATTCCTTACTATTTTAGTAAATATCAAGAAGTTTATACTATTCAATAATTTTAAAAGTATAATATTAACTTTTTTAGTAATTTTAATTATTACTGAACATAATTGAAGGTAAAGAAACTAGTTTCTGGCGTGCCATCCAGCCTGTTAACACACCAGACAGGCGTTAGTCTCTCTCTGTTCTCAGTGGAGGTAACATCTTGTTTGAGACTCTCTTCAACTAAACGCTTTTTTTTTGTGTTTCCAAGCAAATTATTGGTCATTTTGAAAAATATTTTACATATTGACAATATATAATGCAGTGCAGTGTTGATTTAAAGAAAATAATCTTGAAATACACCAAGAGAACTAAAATTTTATGGGTGAAATGGTGCCATGGGGTGACTTCTCTTCCACCCCAATGCCTTCTCTTCTTCCTTCTCCTCCACCCCCATTCTAATTCCCATCATCATCATCATCATCATCCAGGAGCCTTCTACATACACAGCTCAAAGTAAGTGTACTTTTCTACTTTTTTTGTTAAATTTAGGCAATTTTCGGTGAGCTGGAACCAATTACTGTACCCAAAATCTCATTGAAACAATGGTTTCGGTTAACAAGTTTTTCTGTTAACGAGCAACCTGCTGGAACGGATTGTGCTCGTTAACCGAGGGACCACTGTACTACCCATGAAAATATTACCAATATATATATGTATTTCTGGTGAGAATATTACCACAATACTATCTCCAAGAATATTATCATATTATAAAAGAAAAGGTAAATGCACTATTACCATAATATTACACTAGAACATGCCCACAGTGAGTAAGTGACCGATTGGCCAAGCGGCTAACAGGCCAATCAGTGGTGAAGGGATAAAGTGAAGTAAAGAATTACAGTACCAGTATTACCTGTAACAATATTACTACTATATTACCTGTGTCTCAAGGCAGCACTATATTACCTGTGTCTCAAGGCAGCACTATATTACCTGTGTCTCAAGGCAGCACAATATTACCTGTGTCTCAAGGCAGCACTATATTACCTGTGTCTAAAGGCAGCACTATATTACCTGTGTCTTAAGGCAGCACTATATTACCTGTGTCTCAAGGCAGCACTGTATTACCTGTGTCTTAAGGCAGCACTATATTACCTGTGTCTAAATGCAGCACTATATTACCTGTGTCTCAAGGCAGCACTATATTACCTGTGTCTCAAGGCAGCACTATATTACCTGTGTCTAAACGCAGCACTATATTACCTGTGTCTCAAGGCAGCACTATATTACCTGTGTCTCAAGGCAGCACTATATTACCTGTCTAAAGGCAGCACTATATTACCTGTGTCTAAAGGCAGCACTATATTACCTGTGTCTAAAGGCAGCACTATATTACCTGTGTCTAAAGGCAGCACTATATTACCTGTGTCTCAAGGCAGCACTATATTACCTGTGTCTAAAGGCAGCACTATATTACCTGTGTCTAAAGGCAGCACTATATTACCTGTGTCTCAAGGCAGCACTATATTACCTGTGTCTAAAGGCAGCACTATATTACCTGTGTCTTAAGGCAGCACTATATTACCTGTGTCTAAAGGCAGCACTATATTACCTGTGTCTAAAGGCAGCACTATATTACCTGTGTCTCAAGGCAGCACTATATTACCTGTGTCTAAAGGCAGCACTATATTACCTGTGTCTAAAGGCAGCACTACAGCATTGGTATAATTTTACTTTCGGACAGAGCGCGCCCAAAAGTTATAAACTACTGAAACATTTACATCTCACTATTCTGAGCATTTTGAACCCCATATATACCAGACAGAAATGGATAATAGTGACACAATTTAGTTTAATTTACTGTATTTTACGTACCTTTCAGTCTTCGTCTCTGTAAGCAATGTTATCGGCGTGAAACCGAGTCAGGTGTGGATCATGCATGCGCAATATTGACTGACGTCATCCAGTCGTGACCAATGATGCATCGCTATCATCACGCAAATTTTTTTCGAGAAATCACATTTGAATTTTTTCAAAGATAGCAGCCTGGGTATGGATTTGAATTTCATTGACCCGTCTGACAATGGCCGTGGTGGGGGTTGGTTGTCATTCATGCTCCTACGATTATTTTAAGTTTATTGCTGAGTTTTACGAGAAAGATGATAAATTCTATCCACTTCTAACTAAGGTATTGTTCTTTAAGACATGGCATCCCCAAAAGTTTTAAACTACTCGAACATTTAGGTTAGGTTAGTTTAAGCTAGGGCTACCAGGGGTACGGGGGCAGAGCCCCCAGCTAGGGTGTAGGTTAGGTTAGACGACTCGTTTTTGTGTTCTCCACCTAAAGCCCCGATTTCCTAGACTTGGGGGTGGGCAAAAACTAGCAATTTCCACCCCAAATGTAGGTCAGATTCGTTTAAAACACACCAAAATACACCGGAAAAACATACTGGTCAACCCCTTGGGACTCATGTCCGAAAGTAAAAATTTACTGCACTATATTACCGGTATTATTGTATTTTTGCACCCAACATTCCTACCCCTAATCTATTAATATATTCGAATAAGACGTCTAATTATAAGATAATTTTCTTCTATTACATTACCGTCGCAAATATATAATAATGGAGATAGCGTATCCAAAATGTTCTCGATTTTCTTCCATTAATCTTCCGCCATTATCGCCGACCTCACCTCCCACACTGCGTGTCTCCTTCATAAATCATCACGTGCATGCGTTCCCGTACACATCACGTGGCCAATCAAAACCGGTTTTTTTGGGCAACCAATTAAAATGATTTGTGGTTTAATTTGTGGTACTTTTGGTTCAATCAAATTCAATCTTTATTTTGGGTCTCATATTTTGAAATTCAAATTCATTTCCGACCATGGACGTCTGCAATGAGTGTCACTTCAATTATATGGAGTTGATTGAGAGTTTTGGGAAAACAACGAAGAAACTGTAGCATTTTTTAGATCGCATGATGTTCTCCCGACCTCAGTAAAGTGTACTAAGTGCAAGACTGAATGTAAATATCGTCAAGACCAACATATGTGGTGTTGTGGTAACTCCAACGACGAACGAGAACCAGGCCAATAAGGTAAGAAATAAGTGATTCCATCATATGGTGAGACTCAGTTAGGTTAGGTCAGGTCAGGTCAGGTCAGGTCAGGTTTATGTTTTTCTAGTGTTTTTTTATGTATTTTGTATTCGCTTAACCATTGTTTTTTTTCCGAAAACACCCTACCAAAAAAAAATCGAAAAAAAAACGGCCAATTTCCGACGGAAATGAAGGTCATAACCGATCTAAACACACATAAATACACTAGAAAAATATATTTTTTACTTTCTAACAGAGTTGGGTGCACTTATACCATATTACCTGTGTCTGAGGGCAGCACCATGCCTCTTGAAGGTCCATGCGAGGAGGAGGAACAAGATGATATAGACGAGGTTGTCGGTAATCCAAGTCGCTATAAGATGGTCCACCTCCGCCATCACTTCCTCCCTATGTCAAGATTTATGGTGCTGTTGTACAGTCCGTAGGCCGTGTATCTTCTCTAATAGATTCCTAGTAACTACTGTCGGCGAGAGAGTTGTTCATCAAGCCCGTTACAAATGATCTTGCTCTCACTCGCAGGCTGACTCACTGTTGGCATGAACACGAGCTCAGTTGTCACTACCTAATATAGTTCTCTCATGGGACATCAATTAATTAAATTAATCAATCGAAACATATTGTAACCTACTATATGCTATATTTAGGTTAATTTCGAATTGTCGACTTAGAAACACTACAAACTTTTTTATATACATTGGTGTTATTTTCTTACATAGTAACAACACTATAAACGACCTAACAACAGACACAGGAGACAGACCTTCATTACCTTTAACTTAAGAATATTTCAGATTTTCAATTGCACTCTGGCTTAGTCGTTAAGTAAATATCAGGGTCAGTGCAGTGATAAAGGAGAAGGCTTCAGTGGGGCCGAAAATTATGAATAATATTTGTGAAAAGATAAAAATGAATCATGATTTAAGTGGACAGGTAAGAAATCAAGGATCACCATGGAATATATAGGGTACATTAATTTATCCCGCTCGCCACTGATCAGTTCATTAGACTAAAATAATGTCCTCCGACTCTCTGAGGTGCTTATAGACTTATATTAATTCACCCCTTGCCTACCTATAGTAAAAGCTAGGCAACGCAGGCATTCCAATCTCTCAACTGACAGTCTCTTGCACTAATGAACAACACTAGTGTAGCTAATGCCTATCAGTTAAAAGTCTCTCGAGGAAATAACTAGAATTATGGGCTTTGTAAGAGACTGCCTGTGTTGTGACAGCATCGATTGTGAACTCATTTAATATTATTTGAGCCTGATGGATCCGTCAGTACTTCCAAAGATTATTGTTTTTACAATCATTATTATTGGTCCGACTAATTACCCAAATGTAGCCGCAATGAAGTCAAATAATGGTCCTACATGAATAAATCGGACTGCCAATCACTTCTCGACTAGTATTTGGTGTCAAAAAGTAAAAAAAAAATTGGAAAACGTACTTTAATCCGAGTTAATAGATCGCGTGCATGTACCAAGGGTGTGAGTAATTACCCAAATGTACCCAAATGTAGTCACAATGAAGTCAAATGATGGTCCTACAAGCTTAAATCGGGCTGTGAATCACTTCTCGATTATTATTTGGTGTCATAAAGTCACAAAAAATTGGTAAACTTAATTTAATCTGAGTTGTGTTAGGTTAGGTTAGGTACATGCACTCGATCTATTAACTCAGATTAAATTAAGTTTCCCAATTTTTTGTGACTTCGTGACACCAAATACCAGTCGAGAAGTGATTGGCAGTCCGATTTATTTTTGTAGGACCATCATTTGACTTAATTGCCGCTACATTTGGGTACATTTGGGTAATTAGTCGGAGCCCTGTGTGTGTGTGTACCATGGACTGTGTGTGTGTACCATGAGCTGTGGTGTGTGTACCATGGGCTGTGTTTATATACCATGGGCTGTGTGTATACCATGGGCTGTGTATATACCATGGGCTGTGTGTATATACCATGGGCTGTGTGTATATACCATGAGCTGTTTATATGGTGACCGGATAAATCCCCAACAGACAAAACCCCAGTCGCATATATAAAATAAAACACTTTTAAGCTTAGGTTAGGTTAGTGTTGACAAATAACAACCCCGTTGGGGTTTTGTCATGGAACCGTTTATATACTATGAGTTGTGTGTATACCATGGGCTGTGTGTATGTATCATGGGCTGAGTGTGTATACTATGGGCTGTGTGTATGTACCATGGGCTGAGTGTGTATACTATGGGCTGTGTGTATGTACCATGGGCTGTGTGTGTACACCATGGACTGTGTGCATCTAGAGGACACTTGGACTATTTGAGTACGGAACTTTTGAAACAATATTTATGATCCAGAGTTTGTAGGTCTCAGTTATGGCAGAGTTGAATGATTTAAACCAGTTGAAAAAAGCCGTTTCAAAAGTAAGTTTATGACAAATAATTTGTAAATATCTTAGCTGGTCTGTTAGAAAGTTTTTAAGTAAGTTAATTCTTTAGACTCGCAGTGGCACTCATTGCGCGGCTCGTGAGACTTAATTTGCGGCTCAAAAAAAAAAATAATAATTATATTGTACAGGTATATGTAAAGGCTACAACAAGCAGTGTCTCAATAATTTTCATGCAAAATACATATTTTCACGAGGTGAGATGGAAGGCGAAGCCACAGTCAGAGATAACATTTTAACATCCCTGCCCCAGCCGTAAAGGAACAGTACAGGAAAACCTGACGAGTGACGCGTCTAGCCCTCGGTGGTCTCGATAATTCAGTTGTGTTCAGGCTTTCGTGAGAGACTGGATGTATCTCGTTATCCTTTTTGGGATTTGCTATTGTTTGTTTGAATATAGGCCACAGAGATTTGAGAATGACAAGTAAACCTTTGCTGCTTGCGGAGGTTAGCTGCGGTGGGCTAAATGTTTTGGTAAAACCAAAGTGCAGTCAAGTGTCTGTGGTGATGGATCGATTTCTGATCAAACAAAAGCGCAATAATGATGAGCAACCATCCCAGACCCGGGGCAGTAGAAAATAAGGATGGAGGGGAAACGAGTAGTCAACAGGCACACTCATATGAGGGACAGGCCACCAAAAAGACAGGTACGAGCAATACAAGATGAACATAGAAAGTTTCAAGAACAATGGACTGAGGAATTTGTCTTCGTGCTTCAGAGTACAAATTCACTCTGTTTAATTTGTCCGAAGGTGTGCTCTGGTTTTAAACATGGCAATTTAGAACTCCATTTCAGAACAACACATGCAAACTTCAATCAGATGTACCCACCTGGAAGTAACCTAAGAAAAAACAAAATTGAGCAACTTACTGCCTTGGTAGTAGGACAGCAAAAACTGATTCACATAATAATAATAATAATAATAATTAATGGTTTATTGAAAGAGCTTGGCAGCCAGAAGGCTGAAAATATACAGTTACATAATTGGGGAATGGGTTTCGAATTCAAATAATATACAAATAACATAAGTGATATAAATAAGATATATAATAACTAGATGGGGAAAAGCTCAAACTACAGGGCATTTCTACATAGTGACAGTGCAAGAAGTAGTATTTACTGGGAGTGAATACACTGGTTTATTACAAGTTATTGATAATTTTTACAATGGTTGGGACTGGGCTGTTCTTATAGCGATCAGTTCGTGCACGTATGGGCTGGATGCGGTTGTGGTGTCGAACAGCAATTCTCGGGCTAGGTATCTTAGGTGGTAGTAGGAGCCGGTATTAACCTCTGCTGCTGAGAATTTTACAGAGGCAACATTTGAGATTGCATGGATCTTGGCTAGGCATAAGAAGGCCTTTACAGAGGCAGAGGTACTTAAAGAGTGTTTTTTGGCCTCAGCGGAAATAATTACACTGACTTCAAAAACAAAGATGCAATCATAAAGCAAATAAGAGGACTACAGCTATCAGACAACAATTATAAGAAGGATTGAAGAACTTGGTAATGACATTTGTGGCCAGTTAAATGCTGATGTACCAGTTGCACCATGTTTCAGCATTGCATTGGATGAAAGCACGGATGTGTGTGATGTCACCTAGTTATGTGTATGGGTCAGGTTTCGAAAAGAGGACTCATTTCGGGAAGAACTGTTGTGTATATTGGTGCTTCTTAAACTTTATTAATGCCATTCACCCTTAGGTCAGTTTAATAAAATTTAATTCACCCTCGTTAATTGATTCTTATATTAATCTATTCTGTTGCATCACATGAACTAAATTAAGAAAAAATGAGTCATAAAATTTCTGAATTATTATTTTTTTTAATTAAACACATAATAAAATTAATGACTATCATCATGTACTTGCACACACCAGTGACTGCTTAATAGCAAAATAATTTCCTTCTTTTTATAAATCACATCGAGTTAAATGATTGAAGGAGTTAAACATATAATCAATGGCTAGGGTGTTCCTGCATTTCTTTTACAAGCTTCTGAAATTGGGACTCAATTTCCTTCTCCAAAACACCCCTCATGGAAATTTCATACTAACATTGCATAACCCATTGGATATTCTATGGCCTTCCTGTCAAAGTGCATTATTCTCTACAACTATAAACCTTACTAATATTTTATCCTTCCTAGTTATTAACATTAGGATGAAGAACTATGAGTCATTTATGCCATATCTTCAAGGTTTAAAAGCAGAATGCAAGCATTTACCAGGAGGCAAATAACGAGTTGGAACATCTGATCAATCATGTAAACAAATAAATTTTGTTACAGTATAAAGCAAGCCCATTTTCTTTCATATTATAAGCATAAACTTTCTTATTTATAATTTTGTGAGTGGTTGGCACTTAATTGGAAGCTCTTAAGTCATACAAATCTTGATAATTCTTTTAAGATTAATTCTTTAACCCTTACTATTTCATTCAGCCCTCTAGTTTCATTCACCAGTTTAAGAAGCACATGTGTGTATTACCACTACAAGGCCAAACAAGTGGAGAGGATATTTTGGCTGCACTTCTACCCTTTTTTCGTGAGAATAACCTGAACTGGTCAAATCTCACGTGTGTGTGCACTGACGACACCCCAACATGAAGGGAAGAGAGAAGGGAATTGTTGCTCTGATGAGGAAGAGAGAGAGGAGATCCCCAACTTTGTCACTTTTCATTGCATCATACACTAGGAGGCACTTGCGGCAAAACTCAGAAACTGAGTTGCAAAATGAGATGCAGCTGGTTGTACTAGTGGTCAATTTTATTGTTTCACAAACACTAAATCACCGCCAGTTTCGTGAACTGCTGGAGTACATGACAGAATACAGCGACTTAAGTGATGCATAACGAGGTGAGATGGTTATCTCGTGGCAGAATACTTGATCAATTTTCTAGTCTCCTCCCTCAAATTCGCGAGTTTCTTGGAAGCATAGGGAGAAGCGAGCCAGAATTGGAGAATCCAGAGTGGATAATGAAGATGGCTTTTTTGACTGATATCACCTGAATTCACTGAATCCCCAGTTGCAAGGGAAAAATAGATATCCAGGTAGCATGTAGTCACCACATTCCAAAACGAGATTACAACACTGTTCATACCTAAAGCCCCGTCCACACGATCGAGCAGTGCCTGTCGGGCTTTGCCCGTTTACCGGGCAAAGCCTGTGTGTTGTTGTACACACGGGGGTGGTTGGCGGCAGTCATAGTCGGGCGCCGGTAGCTAGTAGGTGGTCAGCAGTGGCGGGTGCGGTACGATCACCAATGGTGTGTTGCAGGAATAATCGCCGGACAATTAAAGCAAAGAGCATAGCGTTGTGTACCACTATAATAATTGCTGATATGTGCAAAAAGAACCAAATGCAGAAAAGGGAATGGGGAAAGAGTGGTTAGGTCAAAGAAAAATATTGGGAAGTCATGCCACGATTTTACGTGAACTGCAAGATGGACATGAGCAAGACTTCACCAATTACATGAGAATGGACCCCAACACCTTTTACAAACTTCTAGCAAAAGTGGAACCATATATAAAAAAAAAAACAGGATACCAATATGAGGGAGAGTATATCTGCAGAGGCTCGTCTAGAGGCAACGCTCATATATCTTTGAACTGGGTGCACCTACAAGTCACTTCAGTATAGAACGAGGATATCAAAACAAAGTTTGTCTCGCATAATACCTGCAACTTGTCAAGCCATGTATGAAATACTCAAGGAAGATTACTTGCAGGTGAGATTTGTAGTACATAAAAATTCATTGAATAATGTTAGAATTATGATATGCATAGACAGGAAGCTATGGGACTAGAGTGAGGAGAGCCGCAGGAACGAAGAACACACACGAATGTCCTCATTACATAAACAATCTCCTGTTTATTGTCACGCCGATAATATACATTGCACAAGATTATTTGGTTAAAACTAGACATCTGGACCGACCGGGGAACATATACGTATCACATTTGCAGTACTTAACTCAGGTTTTACAAAGTGCTAGCATACAATGTCAGTGTCTTTGTTCATACCTCACCGACTTGAGGACCCGGACCCCCAAGGTCAGCGGTGGCATAGTGATCAGCTGTTTTTGACAGTCACATGAGGTTCCAATAATAACATGTCTTGTATTGCAGGCTTGTGTAATGTTGAATATTAATGACAATATTATAGGAATGTCGGTTTTCTGGTTTTATCGTTTGTCTGGCAGAGTCGTCGCTCCATATCCGGCAGCAAACCACAAGGCAGGCTGACCATGATTTCGCTCAACGACAGGCATGGGCAATCCGCTGGTTTGCCCGCCAATTTTGCCTGATAACAGGCATTTAGCGCTTGCCCACAGGGCACTGCTGGATCGTGTGGACGGGCCTTTACAGACAATTTGTTCACTTTCCAGAGCTCAGAGCAGCCATCAGAAATGATCCAGAATATTTGCAACATTTCAGCTATGATGCATTTGAGGAAGTAGTTTCAATCAAGATTTAAGGATGTAAGGTTTATACAATATTACCATTTGTTTTATCTTTTTTTTTTTAATTTACTATATTGCATTAGCAGACAGAACTAATAAATTTAGTATTACGCTGTTTTGCGGCACTCTCAATGAATGTGTTTTGCCAAAGTGGCTCCCTTGCAAAAATTAGCGAATAACACTGCTTTAGAGGGTGGAATAACCAATTAAAAGTGGAGTAATATACAGTTAGCCAATGACAAACCATAGTTTAGAGAATTAGTAAATGACATGTAATGTACAGTAGTATGAACTGAGAGGGGCATAGTTACCAAGTCCAGGAATGTCCACTGGTTAACCTAGCATAAAAAAAATGGGAAATCACCTAGAGTCAGAGTTTTGACTACACAGAAGTGTCACCCCCCATCTCTCATGTATGGAGATACGAGAGATTTAGCTATGTAAGACCTTTTGTTAGTTTCTTGTAATAAGTGTCCGTTTGTTTCATAATAATTATTGTGTCCCACCAATTGTGTATAATTTTTCTATCACAACTCTCCATAATGTGTTCAGTAATAAGTGTCCCCAGTGTTCAGTAATGGAGTCTATACATTATACTAATTGTGAGAACCAAACATGTCTTGTATGTCTACACCCTCTCCCTCAGATGAGTAATGAAGTGTAGCAGTTGACTCTCACTCCTCCCTCCATCACCAAGTTAGACCATAATTAAGATGCCTGTGATTTTGAGTCTCGGTAAACATGACAACACAGGGAAGTTAAATAAAAGAACAAGTGAAGCTGGAATAATAATATATGAATGAAGTATCTAACAAAACATCTATTTAAGAGAAAATTGTATATAAAGTAATTGATTAGCTGGAACTTAAGATTTTATATAAAATACTGCCTTGAGAAAACATATCAGAAATTAAAAGAAACAAAGCAGTAAGAATATAGTATTGAGAATTATAAAGAGTATAGAAGAGAACAATAATAATGTTAGAAAAATAAAAAACTTTCGTCTTTGAGGTGCTAGAAAAAAACGCAAGTGAAAATAGATTAGCAGCGGTTATAGTCCAGGAGCCAGGGCAGAAGGACTCTGATAGGGTAGTGTAGGAGGGCACAGTTGGACCATTAAGTGGGCATATGGTACTGCATACATAATATTTTAATACAAAGTAATTACAAAAAGTTAATTAGGATAGTACTGTATAATACTGTACATTAATTACATGTACTTCTGTACACAGAAAACAATGTGTCAAGTGTTTTTACTAACAATTAATTAAGGAGTACTGTACACACATGACCTTGATATTATCAAAGAAAAGTTTATTAAAACTGTATATATTGTACTCATTATTACAATACTACTCCAAACCACAAAAGATAACATTGCAGTAAATCACTGTAATGTAACCACAAAATTAACAATACCCCGTATTTTAAAGTTAGTTACCAATTTCAACACAAAAGCAAAGAAATGGAATAATTTTATTCACAATTAATTTACAAGTCTTATGAGGGGGAGACCATTTAATGTCTTGTTTCACTGTAAAGTGCAGGAAACTTTTGAGATTCCTCGGTCGACTGAAGGAACAATCGCATTCACATCAAGTGACTGGTAAGGTTCCATTGACTTTGAGCATAATACCGTAAATAAGTTGGGATAAAATAAAGGGGAGGTTTGCCCGAGTCTTGTCAGGGAGTTGGGCAGGTCAGTTCCTAATCATTCCATTTTTTTGCTGCCAGCACTCCAGTTCTGCTCAAGACACTGGTGATGGAAGATCACTGACCACTGACTGTACTTCAGAACAGCATGTTAATGAACTGGTGATAAATAAGTTTCCAGTTCACAGAGCAAATGGTCAACGAGAGATATTGTGAATATTCGTCGGGGGTTAACTGCTGGCTTGTTAGATCTATTAGTTTGCATTGTTTATATTAAGTAGTGATGTTTCAGGGGCATTAATAGATTCAGCTAAGGCAACAGTTCCCATGTACCAAGTGTCACCAATACGGTGTAATAGCAGAGAATACAGTTCATCTCTTGACAACTGTGTTGTCAATTTGTCCTCAAAGTCTTACTCAGAGTTTTATGTAATGAACAGCATTGCAATACACAGTAAAAGACAGGAGAAATTCAAACTATATAATTTGCAAGGAACAGTGATTTTGCTTTAGAAACTAACTTCAAGTTACGTGTTTCGCCGCCCTTGGCAATATTTTGTACAGTATAGTTTTGACAACAACTGTATGAAGCTTGCCAAATACTGTATCTCTATTGCATCATTTTGAGCAGCTCAACGAGTTTTTATATATATATATATAAAATAATTTTACCCCGAAACTCTGAGGGAACATACTGACTATGTTGTCTTTAAGCAGTCTTTGACACTTCCCGAATGCTTGAAAAATACTCCAGTCAGACATCACCTGTTTCCTCCTCCCCTGCACATGCAAATCTATGTGCAGTCGGTGCATATTTGGCTTGAGGATAGACAGTAAATTATACTGTCTATGCTCAAAGACAACCTGGTGTTTAATTATGTAGACTACTGTAATACCCATGTTTCAGGGCCACAAGGGCACACTTGCAAGTGTCACTGGATCCAGGCCTGGTAGCAAGGGCATTAGATTAGCAATGAAAATTTTCAGGCCTAGAAGTAAGTTTTAACCCAATGGTTATTAAGTGATTACTGTCTTGCATTTGCATCCTAACAGTTCTGGGCTCTAGACTAAACTAGATTTTTTTCTATTGTACATCCAGTCATGTTGTCTACAAAACAAATAAAATAGGTGGATTGCCACAACATTAATCAAACTGCCTTTTAAATTTGTGTATACCTTGTTTTTTTTCCTTTGATGTTCCTTTAGTTCTCTTATCTGCCCACTTTTAATTTACACAACCTTATGGTATGAAGGCCTGTTAACTTTTACGGTACAGTATTTGGAAATAGCTCTTTGGGATAAACATTTTTCAGGATACAAGATAAGGTCTCTGCATGCATTATCTTGTTCAATTTAGTAAAATTATTTCTTTCCATAACTTGCTCAGATGAACATCATTGCATCCCTGTTTACAGTGTGTGTGTCAGCCTTTTCCCTTCCTCAGTTAATTTAATGATACCCAAGCCTCTTCCTGCACTCAATATCTTACCTCTACACTATATGTGACTAAATACAACACTTGGGACCAGTGAAAAAACATAATGACTTTAAATATTTATTCCTAGTACTGGCAAGATATTTTTGAGTGTATAAACTTATAAGTATGGACAGTGATACTGTTAACACTGAAAATATACATCCACTGACTTGCAATGTCTTGTTCCTGAAACTGAACACAATTATATGGTAACAAAATGAACACTAAAAGTAAATCACTGAGTAGCTAACTTATAACGAGACAAGTATACATCTTTACTAGAGGCGGTCCACTAGTTCTCACTCTGGAAATATTCCTTACTGCCAGAAGGGTCTGCCTTCATCGTCTTACCACCAGGCCTCCATCCAGCGGGACAAACTGCAAGAAAATCACTCCAGCTATAAGAGTTTACCAAAAATACTTAATGCCCACTTTGTCATAAATACATGAGGCTCTTATAGTGAAGGTTAACTCTAAACTATTCATTGAATTTCTTATATCAAACTTCAACCAAAACTAATTATGCTATACAGTTTCTAACTAATATTCTAGATGTGAAATGATCCTGTGTAGACAAATGCCATAATCATAGTGGAGAGAAACAAATTTTTAAGCTGCTGTATGAACAATGGCCATCACAAGCATTATATCACCAAGAACAAGACTGAGAATTTATTTTGCAGATCATATAATCTTTGTTAACAGTTTTAAGCCAGGGCTGTGGAGTCGAAGACAAAACCTTCGACTCCGACTCCTCAAATTTTTATGCTTCCGACTCCGACTCCTTGGCCTATTTGTAACAACTATTTCTACCATCCTAATTGTAATTTGTATGTTGTAACCTGCATAGGTAAAAAGTAAAACACCGTGGCTATACTGCTACAGCTTTATTAATGATCTGGACGATATTTAAGAACTACAAAAAGATGATAGGCTTGACTTTCAAAGTTTCAATCAAAAGAAAAATAAATTTATTAAGAATTCAAGATATTAACTAGAAAACACCATTTACATGTATATCTAAAAGTTCGATCTCAGCATATGAATTTTGTTTAAGCTCATAATCTGATGTGGATCTAAATGATGATCCTACAATTCCTTTTAAAGTAAAGTTATATATTTATGTACATTAAAGAAATGAATACCTTATTAAGGAAAATGGATAAACCTTACATGATTAAGTTATTAAATTAAATTTGCCTTAATCTCACCAAAAACAGGTTGTAGCTAATTGTTTTGTAGCTGAGAGCCTCTGTGCAGTTTTCAACGAAACAAAATTTGATATAATTCAAAATTTCAAATGGTAAAGAAGAGACTATCGTCCAAAATTATAGTGCTATACTGTGCCTGCTACAATAAATTCATAATAATGCTTATAAAATGGAAATAAATTCTTTTAATAATTTAAGAAAATTAGTGGGATCAGTGGAATCACTGCAATGAATATGCCTGAGTTCATATATTTGTTCTTAGGAACAGAATAGCTTCAGTCGGAGTCGGAGTCTGGACAATTTTACCGACTCCGACTCCACAAGCCGAAATTTCCTCCGACTCCTCGACTCCGACTCCACAGCCCTGTTTCAAGCTTCCCAAAATAATCACCCAACCAGGAAATAATGTTCTTTACCTGTCTGGTTTTAGTTATTAATCAATTGAATTTCCTTAAAACGTAATTGACAACAAAAAACCATTGCTCTCTTATTAGTAGTCCAGACTACTAACCCAAGGAGCACGTAGTAGGTATTTCGTGTGTGAGGAGTCAACTACTCACACCCGAGTTAACTCTTTGTCCTTGTGGGTTGTCATCCTACAACTTGCCCAAAACGGCATTAAGGATGTTACTTACCTTCACCATGTTCCTCCACAAATTGGAAAGCTTGCACCAGGCGTAGGGTTTCATCTACATCACGTCCCACGGGCAAATCATTGATTGTTGCCTAAAATACAAAATAACCATCATTAGTTGACACACAATACACATTCACTAGACACAAACAAACTCAAGACACAAATACACTCTCACTAACACATGATGCAGGTCTTGGCCTTGGGTCCTCAGGTTTCAGGATCAGACATCCAGATTGACAGGTGCTGTCTCTAAGTCAGGACCATAAATTATGGTCAAGGAATTAAGTTATTCTCCTTGTGTCAGGTCAGGTTAGGCTTACCCCAATGACATTCCACAACAGAAGTTCCAGCTCAGTTCACTTTATACTTCCCACAGATGAGGATAGAGAATAGCAACAAATTTCAATGATAGATTCCCAGAGTTGCTTTCTTTGTCTTTTGATTTTGTTCAGTTTCCGTTCATGACAGATGTAAAACAAGCGTCTCTTTTGTGCTCGAAATTATAGAATTAAAGGCTACTAATGAGGTCAGGGTGAATTTTGACACTTATGATGAATTGATGACATGAAAATAGAGCTAACAAGGTTCTGGTACAATTTGGAAGCAACTTTTTTTTTGTCAATGGTGTTTAAAAAAATGATTACTGTAACCATATATCAAACTTCAAGATAGAAAATTGTAAGACATGTTGCTTAACCCTCAGGTAGAGAAACTTAATCAAACGATGACATACACGTCACATACAAATTATACCCCAAATATGGATCATTAAATGATATAAAAATAACAGTTGTAACCTATTTGTCGGTGTTTACTTTTACACTTCTCAATTATGTGATATATTTTCCTTATTTGTTTTTACAGCTAAATAAGTATAAAAATATGTCCGTATTTATTCTCAAAATCCTCAGTCTATATCAGTCACAATCGAAGTACCTGAAAAAAATATTCAACATTTACATCTCCACACACAGTATATATTAATCGTGGATAATCTTGCAACTAGTAGGAAATAACTTTGTTTCAGTGTTTAAGTAGTAAAATGATAACAAGGAGGCTTCAGTATAAACCAGCATCACCCATACACTACTGTCTGTTTTCAGTTTACTTAAGACAAAGCAGATGGCAACTCAGAGGTTTCTCAGTTACCAAGATAAGTTATTTTGTTCTGGCAATAATGATGTGGAGAGCTCTAATTTTTATTTTCAGTGTTTAGATTACCACCCTACAATGGTTATTGTGTCGACAGAAAAAAATAAAATAAATCAAGTAATCTGGACAACAGTAGTACTTCCATAACTTGAAATAATAAGGGTTCTAGCTCTCACAAATTGAGATTTTATGAAACTAGGGACACCTCTCATGAGAGAGAAATTTTCTGTCAATTGTTCCAATAAAAATTAAAAAATTTCTAAGTATAGCATGCCCGTAAAATTCGCGAGGGTTTGGATCTCAAAATAGCAGCAAATAGCCAAATATCATTTGCTAACTGGGAGGGGGGGGGAAGGGATACATTTTTACAAACGTGAAAAGAAATCTATTTTCAATTTGTTTGCCCCTAGGACAATTAATTCTTTTACCTCATTGTATTATGTGTGCACACATACACACAAATAATAATGGGAAAACCCTCTCGCAAATAATCAGAAAGAAAACAAAATGTAGAAAAAACGTGAGTGCACCCCCAAGTCAACGCCATGCTTTATTATCAAGTCGAGTTGGTTGGGTTGCCATCCCGCAATTTTTCCTCATAAAAATTACTGTCTAAACCGAATGACTCCCTGCCCTGGCCGCAAAAATGCCAGCAACTTTAAAACTACCTGCAGACATTCTTGGGTGTATCTGCAAATAACTGAAGGCCATAAATTACAGTACCAAATTTAGGGTTATGAGACAAAATGGCTGGGGTATAAATTACTTATCCACCTTACCTGACGCAGATTTTGTTTCCCATCAATGATAAAGAGTCCACGGAAAGCAAGCCCTTCATCTTCTTTGAGAACACCATAAGCCTTTGATATTTCCATTGACTTGTCAGCCAAGAGGGGAATGTTCATTGCTCCCAACCCACCTTCTTTACGTGGAGTGTTAACCCTGAAACACAACTGACTGTCAGTATAGCGTGGACATAATACAGTATATGCGATGTGTGGTAAGGACATTCCGTGAAAAGTACAAGAATGGAAAGTTAACATTTGGTAAAGGAACATAAAAATCAAAGGTAGAGGAGTGTGTGGAACATACTTACCATGCAAGGTGAGAAAAGTGAGAGTCTGTGGAACACGCCACCACTTCACAGCCAATGTTGCGGAACTCTTCTACTCTGTCAGAGAAGGCGATGATTTCAGTTGGACAGACAAAGGTGAAGTCAAGTGGATAGAAGAACAAGACAATATATTTGCCTTTGTAATCCTCTAGTGATATTTCTTTGAATTGACCGTCCACGACAGCAGTGCCCCTGAAGACTGGTGCAGGTTTGGTAATGGCAGGGACTTGGTTGCTCATCATGGATTTTGCTTGTCGGGTCTGTGGATTAAAATACAGTATCGTAAAATGGAGGGATTTCAAGACACAAAATTGCAGTAAAATTGAAATTGTGTATTTGAAGACACTATGAATACTGCACATGTACGTGTACCTCAGGTCAGTAATGTACCCCAGGCGAGGCATGCAACCACTTGTATTACACAGAGGTGTAAAAGTGAACAGGGATAATTTTAAGTTCCTTTCAATAACAAACAAATGTTCTTATTTTATTGCATTAATAGTTCAAGTTGATCCAGTGATTCGTATTTAAGTTATAAAAGAAGGAAAATGCAAAATTAATGTACTTTATTTGTAAACCCAGTCATTGATGACTACACTGATACCATTAAGATGTTGTTTGAACCATCCCTTGATGCGACTACAGTAAATAGTTAAGCTTCTTTATATCACAAGTGACCTTAACCCTTACGCCCCAGGTGACATTCCAGAACGCTGGACCAGCATGCCCTGGGTGAGGTTCCAGAACAATGGCCATTTCCCGTCACTGTTTGAATGCCTATAGCGGGTTCACAGGTACCAGCGTGACTATTTGTCTGCCACAGCACACGGAGGGGAGCGAGGGTAGGCTCAGAGCGGTCAGTAACCATTCCCCAGTCATCATGGAGTCGCCCCTCATCTTCCACTCCAATCAAGCGTCACCACCATGGGTTGGATGATAGCCAGATAAGGAAAGAACTATTTGATATGAGTGCTGTAGTGGTCGAATCTGGTGAATGTGGTGAGGAAGGCAGTGATTAAAGCCTAGTGATCTTGATGATAGCATCGAGTTAGACGATGTATTAGAGACAAGTGAGGATGAACATGACGCTGGCAGCGAGGCCCAGCCAGGACAACGTATCCCCGTCATGCGCTCACGCTTCAGACAAGGGACAATGGATACCTTTGTTTGGTCTGATTGCAGTAATTTTCAGCCTGACATCCCTGATTTCAGACACTCATCAGGTAGAATTACTCCTGATTTTCCTTTTACAGAGGAATCACATGAGATGGACCATTTTTGTGCTTTCTTTGATGATGCAATCATGGACTTACTGTGTACCGAGACAAATAAATTTTATCAGTACACGTGTGATGCTGACCCAAGCACTGGCCCCTTGCCACTCATGCATCGATGGAGTGATGTCGGTGTTTGCGAACTGTTGTGTGATTTTTGCATTACCGATGCTGATGGCTCATGTGAAAAAACACGTAATTCAGGAGTACTGGATATCTCCTTATGACATCACAGCAACTCCTTTGTTTGCAGAATTCCATGTCCAGAGACCGGTTTGCCTCCATCTTATGTTATCTACACTTTGTAGATAACATTCCTATGGCTGGGGACAGACTAGGGAACACAAGGAAAGTTTTTACGATGTTGAACGTTTTATGAAGTTCTTCTGACCGTTTCAGAATGTAGTGGTGGACGATTCTCTAGTGCTTTTCAGAGAACGTGTTGCTTTTAGACAATACATTCCCTCCAAACGACATCGCTTTGGGATCCAGTTCTTTGTGCTGTGTGACTGCGATACTGGGTATGTCTTAGATCTCGTGTTTGTACAGCAAGTGACGTACGGTAGACGTGCCCAAGGACGACCCACATGGTTTCTCTGGCGCTCTCGAGAAACTTATGGACCACTACTTTGGAGGGAATCACGTCCTCTACACTGATAATTATTATACCTCTCCTGCCCTGGCCAAGTTCCTGCTTGAACATGACACCGGTTCTTGTGGGACTGTGTGCAAGAACAGGCAACACTGGCCCGTGTTTACTGGTAAACCTGCACGAGGAGAGATCCAGCTGAAGCAAGCAGACAAGATGCTTGCAATGTGCTGGCATGATAAGCGTACTGTGCAGATACTGTCAACCATTCACAAGGGCGAAATGGTGGACAATGGAAAAATGGACTGGACCACAGGAGAGGTCTTGAAAAAACCTGACGATGTCATGGACTACAGTGTCAATATGCAGCCCCTGGACAAGAGTGACATGCAGGTTGGCGCAATTGAGTGTGTACGGAAATGTGTCAAATGGTACAAGAAAATGTTCCTACACCTCTTGGACATCACCATCCTGAATGCATACATGAACAATCAGCCACAAGAATAAGTATACTGTACACCTATGGTTCGTGTTTGAGGCAAAATATCTGGTAACACTGTCCTGAGCAGAACAGACAAAATTACAAAATGTCCTGTAATTTCCGTTTTATTCCTACATATATGTTATAAATACATTCGTTGTGAATGTTTTACTAGTGTCTTGTGTTTATATTACAAGTAATACTGTATCCAGTGGTAGTAAACGTGTTGCCAAATGGGATTGCAGTTATCGTACAGCTCCCTCCTCCTCCTCCTCTCCCACTTTTTCTCTATCCCTACTTATTTTTACTGATGTTTGGATTAGTAAAGGAAGGAAGAGGAGTAAATAGAAGACTAAAGAAGAGAAAAAAGAAAATAGAGATAACAGATGGGGAGAGCCGAGTTTCATCATGCGTCTGGATGCGCAGTTTCAACGTTACCAGACCATTTTCGGACCTTACAGCTACAGTGTGTATACTGTGGCTGACTGTACCTCATAAAAACTGGGGAAAAACCCTCTCTCAGGTTTTCAGAAGTAGAGAAGTATGGCAACATCATGACAGCTGTACCACAACATCACAGCCAAGCAGGCCTTCCTGACAGACTCCTTGCACGTGACTGGGTTGTTCGTCACTACCTTGACGACCTCCCAACTCTTCAAAGTGGTCTCAAGGTGCAAAGGCGGTGCTACGTCAGCAAGAACACCACGAAGCGCCCAGCTAAGTGCACGGACGTGACGATGTGGTGTAAGGAGTGTGACGTTGGTATCTGTAAACCTTGCTTTATGGAGTACCACTCTAAGAAAACATTCTAAAACAATGTGGCATGTGCTTGTAAATTGTGTAAATAGTAGTGTAAGTGTACATGTAAAGTACAAAGTGTCATATTTGTGTAAAAGGTACACAGTTGTGTGCACTCGCTCATCACTACCCACGAGCGCTGGCAGACAGCTAGCTAGGCGTCAGGGTATCACCAACATCACCTCAGCACCCTACGCGTGGTCAGAGGGAAGCTTCTTGGCATGTACCTTCTTTTGTTTTTTATTTTTCATCGCTTGTCCATTTTATCATGTTGTATCAAAGTAATACTACTAAAAGTGGTGTAGGTAGTTGTAGTGTAGTATTACTAGATGATAATGCTATGATTATGTTATAAATGTATTTATTTGTGGAATTATTCCAATAATTATTTGTACGACATACGTGCTCTCCCACACAATGACAGCCTGGCGACAGACGATGCCGCCAAGCACTTTTTATGAAAAGTAATGCAAATAAAATACATTCTAAATGAATTATTTATAAGAAATAAGTATTATGATCAGTAAATATATGTATTATAGGCCATCTCGGACACAAAGGCAAGCGAAAAAATAACCCGAGTGTGTGGTGACCACAAACGTTTGCTGAAAAAAAAATTCCATTATTTCCCTCACCACTGAGATGCCACGTTTGTGTCTAGAGGGACAATATAGTTTTTCTTACGTCTTTTTTTAGTGTTTTATCATTTATAAAAGTAAAAAATTATTTTTGGAAAAGTCGATTTTTCTCGTTTTACCCCGTGTGAGGGGTATGGCCGGCAACACCCTAGCCCAGGGCTAGGGTGTTTAACAAGTTGTACAGTACAGCTAGTCATTTCTCTTATTGGAAAAGATGGTGAAATTCATTTTTTTCATTTATAAAAGATTTTTCTTGTTCTAAGGTCAGTTATTGGTCTTGTGGCAAAGAAACATGTAATTACAATTGTATGTAATGTATCATAACCAAATATCATGTAATAATTCAATAAGTAACCTAATTTGCTTCAGGCCTAGCTAATTGTTCATAAAACAATAGCCCCTCTTTGTTTCACATTGGATATATTTTTCATACATCGTTTTTTTCTTTTTAAATTCCAAGTTATCTGAAGTAACCCCAGACGTGTCCAGACCTGTCACAGTTTAGCTGAACCCTCTTTAACTAGCGCTCTTAGTATGATGGCTAATTTTCCTGTGACAGTTCGGAGGCTATTTACTGTCAACAAAAAAAAAAAAAAAAGACGACAGACCATATACAGTACAGTACACAATTTCTCATTCAGTTATAGATACAATAACCTTCAAAACTGTGTCAAGTCACCTCCTGTACTGTATTAAGAGTACTGTACTGGGTAGTTAATTCTACTAAAAATACAATAAATGTTGTGTTTTGTCACCATGGCTCACAGGAATGATGTGCAAGGCAATAGCAAGATGCTGACTCATGACTGAGGGAATGCTTATATGTACTGTACATAAAAAAAATTAAATAAATAAAATCCAGTATAAATTAAAAAATAAAAAACATGAATCCTAGCATTCTAAGACCTTTTGGGAAAGTTTTCTGGAGGAACGTATTTCAACTTTTATAAACGAGTTTGGGAAAATGTGTTCCAATTTTCTAATGGATATTCAGGAACAAACCCCAATAAATCTGATAACAAATGAGCCACCACTAAAGCCACACTTCCCAACTGACATTTTTTTTCATTTTCCTCTGCCATAACACCCCCCCCCCCCAGACTTGTATCACAATCTCAGAGCTGCATCGCCAACTTGTTCATAATTACTCGTCGATAATCACTAACCATCAATAACTGCTAACACCAAGGCCAGTGATTACCGCATTTGCCTTCCAAGGCTTGTACATCCTCCAGCTGCGAGTGAGTATACAGTACCTAAATTTACTTATACAGTAAGTAGGTAAGGTTTGATTACTGCACAGTATTGTACTTCAGGGAGCAACAGCCTGCCAGGCCAGGTAAGAGGGCACTTGGAATACGCACTACCTTCGACTACTACTCTACTTAACACACATTAATCTCTACAACTTCTTACTCTCTAAATTTGAAACTAAACAAACTGGAAATTTCAATCGCCTTCTTTTCAGCAGTGGATTTAATACAAGCTAACTGTACACATTCTGTTTCAAGAACAGATGACCAGAGTCTTTATATTGCAGATAATTCTCTCACTTACCTCACCAGTCTGGTTATTTACCTTTATATTGCAGATAATTCTCTCACTTACCTCACCAGTCTGGTTATTTACCTTTATATTGCTGATAATTCTCCCACTTACCTCACCAGTCTGGTTATTTACAAGTTCCTGTGTAGTAATGACATCGTCCTGTGCTCCGCGTGCTTCCTCAGGAATGGTCTTTAAACGATCGGGATTTATTACGTCGTCGTAGAGGCTGAACGATGCGCTACGAGCTTGCTTTCTCTTTTCATCAGGGAGGGTATTATCCCCCCCTGGTGTTGTACTGAAAAGCTGCAATAAAATTCCCTTCACTTTTACCTGTTCTTGTTCACTAACACACACCTCTCCTGCTTCACCACCCAACACTCGGTCACCAACGGCATCAATATCCCTTAATGAGTCTTCAACAAATCCAAGGTTGACTTCAGCTCCTCTAATCTCCTCCTTCCTACAAACTTTTTTCTTGCTTTTTTTCCCACAACACAGCATAACAGATGAAATAAAATCCACAACAGCAATTCTCTGCACTTATAATGCACTCCCTGAGGCTGGGCCAACATGCCATACTATCGGGTAAATTCCTATCAAGTCTCCTGCTTGAACCCAAGATATGATATCTACTGTACTGAGATAAGCAAATGTACACTGTAGCTCACTCTAATCTACATCTCATTCATCTTGTGATCCTCACTCAGCCTAGGTGAAGTATCGAGGTATACAAGTACAGTATTGAGGTATACAAGTACAGTATCGAGGTACACGTACAGTATCTTGGAACAATCTACCAGAAAGTGTTATGACGGCACCGAGTGTGAGCTCTTTCAAGACAAGACTTGACCAACACTGGAGCAGGTTCAGGTACATTCAGGAGCCGGTGCATGCCCAGTACTTGCCAACAGTGCGTAACAGAGACGTGACCGATCGCCCGGGCGGCTAACGAGCTGATCAGTGGTGAAGAGGATAAAAGTAAGTAAAAAGTATCGAGGTATACATATACAGTACTGATGTATACATGTACAGTACTGATGTAAACATGCACAGTACTGATGTAAACATGCACAGTACTGATATATACAAGCATAGTACTGAGGTATGCACAGTATGACACTAAAACAGGGCGAGTAATTAAATCTGACGAGAACTCTGTAAAACTACAGGAAGATCTAAACAAATTTTTGAATGGTCTGAAAAATATCAGATGAAATTCAATGTGGACAAATGTAAAGTACTCAGTATAGAAGATGTAAACAGGGAAACCAGATGAACAAAGATGTTATTGAGAAATCCGACTAAGAAAGATTTAGGAGTAATGATGAGTAGGAATATTAAGCCAAGTAAACAAAGTATATTTGCTCAAAACAAGGCTAATAAAGTACTTGGGTTTATACAAAGGAGTGTTATTCACAAGACTAGCGAGGTCATCCTAACACTATATCTTGCGCTTGTGAGACCTCACTTGGATTACGCAGTTCAGTTCTGGTCACCGTATTACAGAATGGATATAGAATCCTTGGAAGAATTCAGAGGAGAAAGACAAGGCTAATCCCGGGCATTAGGAACCTTGAGCATAGAGACAGGTTTAAGCTTCTTAATTTGCACTCCCTCGAGAGACGTAGATTGAGGGGCGATATGATAGAGGTGTGTAAATGGAAGTCAGGGCTGAACATAGGGGACATTACCAAGGTACTCAAACTATCCAACCAGGAACGAACTCGTAACAATGGTTTTAAATTAGACAAATTTCGATTTAGGCGCAAAATAGGTAAACATTGGTTTGGAAATAGAGTAGTGGACCAGTCCGACTAATTACCCAAATAAAGCCGCAATGAAGTCAAATAATGGTCCTACATGAATAAATCGGACTGCCAACCACTTCTCGAATAGTATTTGGTGTCACGAAGTAAAAAAAAAGAAGGAAAACTTAATTTAAACTGAGTTAATAGATCGCGTGCTTGTACCGAGGGAGCGAGTAATTACCCAAATGTAGTCGCAATTAAGTCAAATGATGGTCCTAAATCGGGCTGTGAATCACTTCTCGATTATTATTTGGCGTCATAAAGTCACAAAAAATTGGTAAACTTAATTTAATCTGAGTTGTGTTAGGTTAGGTTAGGTACATGCACTCGATCTATTAACTCGGATTAAATTAACTTTACCGATTTTTTGTGACTCCATGAAACCAAATACTAGTCGACAAGTGATGGCAGTCCGATTTATTCATGTAGGACCATTATTTGACTTCATTGCAGGTACATTTGGGTAATTAGTCGGACCCTAGTGGACGAGTGGAACAAGTTACCAAATATCATCATTAACTCGAATATCTTCAAACATAGGTTGGATGGATATACGAGCAATAGGGATTGGGTGTAAATGGGACTGCCCGGTCAATAGGCCCGCTGCAGTTTCCTCCATTCTTATGTACAGTATTGAGGTATGCATGTACAGTACTGAGGTATACATGCACAGTATCGACGTACACGTGTATAGTATCGATGTATATATGAGGCAGAGCCAACACTTGCTGCGTGGCGAGACGTGTACACACCACTAGCCTTAACAACATCAACCTAGAGAAGTCGACTTGTGAAAGAGACTTAGGGGTACTTGTAAGCCCGGACCTACGGCCTAGAAAACAGTGCGTTAATGTTCGAAATAAGGCAAACAGAGTATTGGGTTTTATATTCAGAAGTGTAAGTAACAAGAGTGCAGAGGTCTTATTGCAACTATATCTTGCGCTTAGTTAGGTCGCACTCGATTATGCGGTTCAGTTCTGGTGCCCCTATTATAGAATGGATATAAATTCACTAGAGTCGGTGCAGCGAAGAATGACAAAAATGATTCCGGGACTTAGAAACCTTCCATATCAGGATAGGTTAAAGAAACTTAACTTGCATTCCCTAGAAAGACGAAGAGTGCGGGGAGATATGATAGAAGTATTTAAGTGGGTGAAAGGAATCAATAAAGGGGATATAGATAAAGTTCTTATAATATCCGAGCAGGATAGGACTCGGAGCAACGGATTCAAGTTGGATAAGTTTTGGTTTAGGAGGGAGATAGGAAGAAACTGGTTCACAAATAGGGTGGTGGACGAGTGGAACAAGCTTAGCAACTTTGTAGTAAGTGCGGGAACTCTGGAAAGTTTCAAAAGGAGGCTAGATAGATTCATGGATGATAGAGTGGTAGTAACTCTCGACAGGAGCTGCCATGCACAGGCCAACCGGCCTGTTGCAGACTCCTTGTTTTCTTATGTTTTCTTATGTTCACTAACACACATTTATGTTTTGCACACATTTTACACCTCGTTATAATTACTAAATGTCTGACTCATTAGGCAGAGTCCAACATCTCTAAACGCTACAACATTTGTGGGTTTTTTATCGACCTTATAATTAAAAAAAATGTAGTACATATAAATTAACTTGGGGTAAATGAAGGAACATTAACGGTTGATGTTCAATAGCTGTGTGTGTGTCGTGACCGATCAACATCCATCCTCTAGATTCTAGAAGATTATGGGTGAAGGAATGTTATGAATGTTCTAGAATCTGGAATATTTTTAACATTCCTTTACCCAAAATAGTTTGTTGAAATATTTAAAAAACGTTCACTCGTAAATGTACAGCTCCGGATAATGACCATCAATAATGAAGAAGGAAGTAGGTGATTATAAGATTTTTCCGCTGTAACTGTACTAGGGTAGTTATTACATTAACTTTTATATACGGAAATAAACAAGAAACGGAAATTAACCCCCCCCCACCCTTCGTAATAACCAAAACATATACAATACTTAAAATTCATTCAACAGTAAATTATTTAGTAAGCCGAGGATGACAACACCAGATGAATGCCTCATGCTCCTATCAACCAACATATATGAAGACTTTCAACTTTTAGATTTTGGAAACATTTTAACTTAAGAGTCATAATAAATAATTTAACAAAGAAGTCAGGATGTTTGGCGCGGTCTCAATGACACCACAAGAACCATGAAGCTTCCCGCTACACCAGCCTTGAAATAAACCCAATATATTGCACCTACTCCTTCCTTGATCATGGACGGTGATACTAAACACAGCACCCACACAAACATACATAATAAAGGCAGCTTCGTATATACTGTAATGGTGGAGGACAGTTATAAGCACAGGCTCCATTACATAGAGGTGCCGGTCCTACACCACAACCACTCAATGCTTCTAATAATACATCTTAATTCTCCCCTTTCTAATAATAAAAACCATCTCTAACGTAACAAGAATACTATTATAAAGGCTAGAAAATAATATCACTAATCTACTTACTTGATAAACAATTGTAGACTGCAACCAGGAAGTTGGAATCTTACCTCCGTCACAGCTGCCGCCACACTGACTCACGGCCGGCGGTCTCACTTCACGGGACGCTAACACTCTCTTAGTATTGACGTTCAACTGTTTCAAATTAACCCGCCAAGTATATTGTATCCCTACTGCAGTTATATATATATATATATATATATATATATATATATATATATATATATATATATATATATATATACACACAAAAGTATTCTGTGTAGTTTACTTTTACTTTTATCCTCTTCGCCACTGATCGGCTCGTTAGCCACTTGGGCGATCGGTCACGTCTCTGATCAATTTATCAATTTCAATTGTTTATTCCTTGATAGAGGAAGCGGGATCCTAGTGCTGTCACTAGGTACCCCTGTACAATGACACCAGAAGCATCTGGCAAGTGTGACAAGTATATACAGTATAAATATTATAAAGGGGCTTACTAAAGCCTAAGGAAGGAAGGCTGTTCCTTTAACACATAATCAATATTATTTACAAAATATCTGGCCAGTATGGGGAGGATCATCGTGTCTCACGTCTCCGATTACTTTCTTTTATCCTCTTCACCAAAAGGTCGGCTCGCTAGCCGCCCGGGCGATCGGTCACGTCTCTGTCACGCACTGTTGGCAAGTACTGGGCATGCACCGGCTCCTGAATGTACCTGAACTCGCGCCAGTGTTGGTCAAGTCTTGTCTTGAAAGAGCTCACACTCGGTGCCGTCACAACACTCTTTGGTAGATTGTTCCAAGAGTTAACAACCCTCACTCCGAAAAAGTTTGCCCTCATGGTTTTCTGGACTTGTGGCTTCTTCAATCTTGAGCTGTGACCCCTTGTGTAGCGAGCGACCGCCAGCTCCAAGTAACGACACTCAACTGAGTAGTGTCCCCTGAGATGCTTATACACCTCAACTAGGTCCCACCTTGCCGTCTGTAGTATAAGCTAGGCAAGTTCAGGCGCTCCAATCTCTTAGGGTAGCTGAGGTGCCGAAGTGCAGGCACCAGTCTGGTGGCCCTCCTTTGAACATTTTCAACCAACTGACAGTCCCTAGCATATCTCGGGGACCAGATGGGGTGACAGTACTCCAGATAGGGAAGCACTTCACTCCTGAAGATCTCTACGAGGGACGGACCGTCTAGATATCGGAACGACCTTCTTATACGACCCAGTAATTTATTTGCCTGATTTACCTTCTTCTCGCAATGGCCTGAGAACTTCA